GGGAGGAGGGGGAGAAGACAGGGAGGAGGGGGAGGGAAAAGAGAGACGGGGAGGGAAATGGGAGGCGGAAATTTTTTTTTCAATAAAAAAAAAGAAAAAAAAAAGTGGCGCTCTTCTAAAATAACCATAAAACAGATCACATCATTTAATTTTAGGTTTCCTGGACATCTGGCTGAACATTCTAGACATTTTGCTGAACTCACGGCCTTTTCTGTTAGCTCTCTGCCTGGTACTTGTGAATAGGATGTAAGCTCTCAGCTATTGCTCTTGTGCCATGTTCCTTGATGCAATGGTCACAGACTCTAACCCTTTGAAACTGTAAGTCACACATTAAATGTTTTGTTAGTTGCCTTTGTTATGGTGTTTTTCCATGGCAATAGAAAAGTAACTAAGACACCATGCCTTTTAGATAACTAGTACTTTATAGGGATGCTGTCTTAGCTCATAATCCATAGTAAAGGTACAGAGAACAATACTCTACAAAATGGTCTATAGTTTGTTAGGTGTCATGTGTCATCTAGACTCCTTGACCTTGTGAGCTATTAGACCCATGACCAACTTTCTCAGCAATGTAGGTTTTCAGACTCCGAGGTCTCCAGTTTCTCATCTTCTTTTGGCTTTCCGGCCTACTGGTAGTTGTCAAGGTGGTGTGGTTTCTTAGCCTCTGTCAGTTCTTTAGGCTTCCAGGCTCTGTAGGCTCTCACATCCTCCTTAAGTATCAGGAGCCTTCTGATGGAGGAAGGTCATTGGCTAATAAAGAAACTGCCTTGGCCCATTTTATTGGTTAGAACATAGGTGGGTGGAGTAAACAGAACAGAATGCTGGGAGGAAGAGGAAGTGAGCTCAGACTGGATAGCTCTCCTCTCTGGGGCAGACGCCTCAGACAGAGGCCATGCTCCCCTCTCCTGGGCAGACGCATGCGATGAAGCAAGCCGCCAGGTCAGACATGCTGAATCTTTCCCGGTAAGACTGGTGCTACACAGTTTATTAGAGATGGGTTGATCGGGATATCAGAATTAGCCAGTAAGGGCTAGAGCTAATGGGCCAAGCAGTGTTTAAATGAATACAGTTTGTGTGTTGTTATTTCGGGGCATAAGCTAGCAGGCGGCTGGGGTGCTGGGGTCGCAGCCCCGCCGCTCTTATTACTATAGCCTTCTGATATGGGATGTCCCCACAGGGGCCTGGAGACCCACTCCTCAATCCAATACATACATGGAATGGGGAGGGCTTATTTATGATCCTCAGTCACATAACCCTTATGATACACAATTAATAACAACTCAAAGAGAAGATCTGAAAAGCAAAACAGCCAGTAACTCTTACCTCAACCTTAGTCAAAAATGGTGATCCTGCCTCCAGGAATCTCAGAATGAGACTGTGTGTTGAGAGCTGTTTCTTCTCATCTTATAATCCTCTCTTGGCCTGGGATTTAAGACATGCATTACCTGGTTTCTGTGGCAACTAGTGTGGCTACTGGGATTACAGGTATGTGTTACCATTACCTGGCCTGTAAGGCTGACCAGTGGGGCAGTTTAATGCTCAGATCTTCAGGTGGGCTTTATTTATTAAAGCACAATTGAAATGCCACTACAGCCTTAACTCATTCCAATGGTTGCTTTATCCAGCCTGGTATTTTTCTAAATGACATTAGTGGACTTTTGTACTGCCACTGCCTTTTAGGTGACTTGAGGCCCTCTGTGGAGTTGGCCCCCATAATCTCATGGAGAGTGGAACTATTAGGAGGTGTGGCTTTATTGGAGTGGGTGTGGCCTTGTTGGAGGAAATATGTCTCTGTGGGGGCGAGCTTGGACATTTACCTCCCAGTGTCTCAGGATACCTCCAAATGGCTCAGTCGACTTCCTACAAGACTCTCAGCTGCTACTGCAATACCAGATCTGAGTGCATGCTGCCATGCTTTCCATCATGATGATAATGGGCTGAACCTCTGAAACTGTCAACAAACTGGGCATTTACCTTTTAGGAGGCTATGTTGTAAATTATGACATATACAATTATTATACTGGTCTGAAAGCCTTCTGTAACTCAGTTGTTAGAAAATTTCCACATAATGTCTCCCACTTCCAATTTGCCAGTGTCTGCCCATACCAAATATATCATTCCTTTACTCTGTTGTTGGTGACCTATCTGGATCATGAACATTTGTTCATGCCTTACCAGGAAATGTCATACAACGTGGAAACTGAATTCCATGTCTGCGGTTACATGTAATTGCATAACCTCTGTGGGCCACAGCAGCCTGGTGAGTAATATGTACAGTAATTATGCATATACCTAACCACAAGAATCAACAAACATGATGACAGAACAGAGGCTACATTTAGTGTTTCCTACATAGTGATTGTCAATATTTGGAACCCTGTTACCCTAAAATCAGAAAGATACCGTACACTAGGTGGCACTCTAAGAACAAAAAAAGTCATTTTCTTTCATTGCTGTCTACGTTCATGTAGAGTAGCATGAGATGGAAATTCACTATCTAGTGGGAATGAGACAAACCAGCAGAGTTGAAAACTAGAGAATTTTATTGCAGATTCAGGGCACTGGGGAAAAAATGAAAAAAAAAAAAAACTCTATGCTTTCTCTGCAGAAAGCACCAGTGACTGAAGGTCCTTTGAATTTGCAAGCTGGGAAGATATGTGAAAATAGTGCAAGTTAGGAAAATCCTCAGAATGAGGGTGAATTTACAGTTCTCAGAGTCCTCGAGTAGTTTGGCAACTCCTAGGAACTCCAAAATATTCTAATTAGAGCAACAAGTCAAGGGGCAGTGTCCTGAGTGGAGTTCTTGCACACGGTGCGAAGTTCAGACCCAACCTTTTGCCAGATCGCAGGAAACCCAGTTCCAGAATTAGAACACCAGCAGCTGCATCTGAAAATGCAGAAGAAAACGCATACAGCAGTAAACACTCCTCACTGGCAGACCCACAGCAAGCTCCTGCTTTCAAACAGCCAGGAATCCAACACTCTTCTATTTAAACGTGTTTCTGAACCAAGGCAATCATGCACGAGTCAGGCCCTGAGTCCCTGTCTGTCCTAGAGTTAGAGAGCTACACTCTTTGCATCATGCTTAGGAGACAAGGTGCTTGTCAGTGGCATTAGCCTTAGGCCAGAAATAAATCCATGTGTGGATTTTCAAAGATGTATTTACTCCAAGTCCGACCTGGCCTGGAAGACTGAATTACTAAAGCTGGAGATGTCTCTGGATCAGAGACAGAATGCTGGAAAATGCCACTCACTAAAGGATCAAATGTGCAGGCACCCAGGTTACCTCAGCAATTAATTTTAATAAAACCCAAACGAACTCTTTTTGTGGAGAGCCAGTCCTGCAAAACTTTGGGGTTAGCTGGCTAGCCTCCATCTGTGAGTTTTATTCAGAGAAGGCAGGTGGTTCAGTAATGAAAATATCTCCCAGATCCTGGAGCTTTCCTCACTGACCAGCTTTTCCCAGCCTGGGTGTTTCATTCAGTCAGCCACTTGTTCCCAGTGTATTCCTGGGTTTCTAAAGTGAAAATATGTAGTGGCATTTCATTTGTATTTTAATAAATAAAGCTTGCCTGAAGATCAGAGAATAAAAAAGTCCTACTGGTCAGCCTTACAGTCTCAGCAGTGGTGACACACATCTTTAATCCAAGTAGCCACACTAGTTGCCATAGAAACCAGGTAGTGCATGCCTTTAATCCCAGAGGTGTACACCTTTAATGCAAACCCTAGAGAGGATTATAAAATGGGAGGAGACAATTCTTAGACACAGAAGTCATTCTGAGACTCCTGGAGGAAGGATCACCTATTTGAACTGAGGTCAAGATAAGAGCCAGTGGCTGGCTGCTTTGCTTTTTGGATCTTCAGATTAAACCCCAGTTTCTCTTTCTGAGTTTTTATTGATTGTGCTTCAGGAATAGACATCCCTTGGCACGTTGTGGAGCTTTCAGAGAATAAAGTGTTAAAAAGGAAGACATGGAAGAGTGAACATTGTTACTAAGAAGAGATCAGACTAGCCTGTTTGGATGCTCACCTTCCTAGACCTGGATGGAGGGGGGAGGACCTTGGACTTCCCACAGGGCAGGGAACCCTGACTGCTCTTCGGACTGGAGAGGGAGGGTGAGAGGAGTGGGGGGAGGGAGAGTGAAATGGGAGGTGGGGAGGAGGCAGAAATTTTTAATAAAAAAATAAGTAAATAGTATTCCACATTTCCCTCTTTTTGCCTAAATAAAAATGAAAGATTTTAACTTGAACATAGCAAAACTACATACATACAACAAAACAGTTATCAAGTAAGAATTACGTTTACAATATTCAGTCCATTTGTATTTAGCAAATCCAGAGAAAATACTCCACTATCTTATCTTAGTGATTACAAAGTTTTATAACTAATTCACTTTCTATCATAACTAAGGAAAACTATGACTTTAACTATTCAGTCTATAATTTCCTCAAAGAACCCAGAAAAATGTAATATTATCTAGCAACAGATTTGACTGCCTGGGTAGTCACCCAAAGTTCCTCCGCAATGTCGGGGCATCAATTTTCAATCTACAGGTCTAGAACATCTGGCAGACTCTTCTATGAAGCAGGAATTTTGAAGTACTTCCCTACCTTGTTTTGGCAAAGTTTAATAGTCTTTTCCCTCTGTCCATATTTATCCAGTATTTACAGCATATTGTCAGAATTCAAGAGCAGTTTCTTGCCCAAACGACCACTAGCCTTGCCACACTGAAAGCAAACTTCATAAGGAATTTCTTCAGTCCCCATTATCCTTTTTTGAAGTAAATTAGTGCTGCCAGGAGCAGATGTGACTCATTGTCATGAAAAATCTTAGGTTATTAAACATCTTAAATGCTATATTCTATAGGTCTTTGAAGTGTTTTAAGATCATCAGTCTAAAATATATATATTCACCTTGAAACCATACCTAATATGGCTACAAGTGTGATTATTATAGATTAGCTATTAACCTCATTTCTTAATTATATTACATTTTTAAATAACCTGCATAATCACAATACACAAACAAAAGCAGAGACATATATATGTATATATACATATATATATTTATATTGAAACAAAGAGAGCTTTTTAAAATTGTATCAATACACCAAAATCTACCACAATGCAAAATGTCTAAGATAAATAGTTATCTTTTTGTCCTATATTCTTATATTCCCCTAAATGATAATAAGCATCCACAATCTACCAAATAACCAAAGGCCATTCATCCCATTTCTTGGGAATATGAGTGTCATATTCTCCAGATTGCTTTCTGCTGTCTGTGGGCATAGGCATCTTCAAAGGTCACTGATAAAATTGAGATAATGGTTAAGTCCTGGGAAGACTAACTATAAGCTTTGTTAAAATATATCATCTGTCAAGATTCAGGAGGTCTTCTCCAATCAAATCTGGTTCATATCAATCTTTAAGGAATCCAGAACCTCTCAAGTGGGAATGAAAGCAAAACCTCATCTCCAAATCAATGCATCTTTTAAGTTCTATTTTACAAATACATTTTTGACTTTCACGTTAAAGTTAAAGCCTTCCTAAAATATCCAGGCTGGTTTATTTCCATGGCCCCTCTTTCAATTCCAAGTCTCTTAGTAGCTGTCCTTTGCTTATCAACAATCAAAAGTTCAAAATCAACACAATAACTCACAGCACCCAAACTCCCTGTGTATATCCCGTCTTACATGACCTTTGTCTTTTATATTAATTTTACTCTCTCTTTAAAGACTTTACATTTGTAAACGTTTCTTTCTTTCTATGACTGTCTGTACCCACTTTTTTTCTTAAGCCTACACTATTGTTAAACATACTGGAACCTACCTACAGTATTTCAGCCTGGACCTCATTTACTGCATATCTCTAGTCTTTGTTGACTGTGTGAGCAAACTTTAAATGGCTAAGCTACAACATGGTCATTTGTACATCTCTATAATTTGGCTCGGATTGCTTCTAGGCTTAAGAGAGTTAAGCCTAAAGCTTATGGCCTGGTTGGAAGTACTTTTGACCAGGAATTGCACTCAACCCCCACAACTCTGGAATCACAGGGCTCTGATCTGTGGCAGGCATTTTTACTTAGGTTTTTGCTTCTATTAATTATGTAAAGGTAGTTTAAGTGCCCTGCTGTGTGACAGAATTTCTTAAAGAATCTGTTTTCATATTTTTTTTTATTTAATTTTAAGCTTTTTCAAGCCCTATGGATATATGGGTCAATGTTGGAATGTCAAAATATTGTTGGGCTTGTTTTATATTCTTTTACTTTGGTGGTGGCGGGACTAACACACAGCTCCCAAATAATCACATAGAGATTTATTCTTTCTTATGAATGCTCAGCCTTAGCTTGGCTTGTTTCTAGCTGGCTTTTTCCTTTTGCCTCTGGACTTTTACCTCTCTCTATTTTTCTTTACTTCATACTCTAAGACTTGCTGTGTAGCTGGGTGACTGGCTCCTGATGTCTTCTCTCCTTCTCCTTTTTCTTGCTTCCTGATCTTCTCTTCTCAAATTTCTCCTCTTATTTTTTTCTGCTTGCCAGCCCCGGCTAGTTTCTTTCCTGCCTAACTATTGGCAATTTAGCTCTTTATTAGACCAATTGGGTGTGTTTTAGACAGGCAAAGTAACACAGCTTCACAGAAGTAAACAGATGAATACATCTTTACATTATTAAACAAATATTCCACAGCATGAATGATTGTAGCACATCTTCAACTAATATTTCACAACAGGGTTTGGTTTTAAAAAATATACTTTTCATAGCACATAATATCTTCTTACCTCACTTACATGTGAATTTACTTAAAGAAAAATCTGTATTTTTTCTAATAAATTCATTCCTCACTCAATGATACCTTTCTATGCCATAAAGCTAAGTTCCAGAGATGTAATTTTGTTACCTGTTGATTTGAAGATTACGCACAAAAATCTTACTTCTTTTTAGTTAGCATTTTAATAAAATAATTTATTTTTGAAATTAAATATAACTACTTTATTTTCTCCTTTCTCCAAATCTTCTCATGTGGCCCTTTGTTTTCACTCACATTTATTAACTCCATTCCTTTAACTGTTTGTATATTTGGAAAACATAAATATAATATATATTCCAAATTTATAAATACAACATGCTCAGTCTGTATAATGCTACTTGTATGCATATGATTTCAAGGGTGAGTATCTGGTATTGTGCACTTGGAAATCAATTGAACTTTTCATTATGTAGGATATTTCTCCTGCTCTCAGCATTCCTTAGTTGTCTGGAGTTGTTTTTCTTTCAAACACGGTTTTATTTTCCAAATCATTCACAAGTAAATCAATCAAAATTCTGTTGTGTGACTTACCTGCAAAGAAGTTATGTGTTAGGGTGTTGCTACAGAAAGCTTTGAACAATGAAAAGGATGTGGAAGCTAGGGTAAGAGATTTAAATTTTACTTTAATGTATTAAGACAAGCTGGAGAAGGGTACTGAGTCAAACCCATGCACCCTTTAACATGGGTCAGGTGGATACAGAAAATGGCGACAATGGTGAAATGGACTCCTGTTCAGGAGCTGGCAGGGCAGAGACCTAATGCACATAGACCTGCTTACCAGGACAAAGATGCATTACATTTTCAAAATCAGCAGAAATATAAAACATACAATTGTTACTAATTTCAATCAAATGACAAAGATATGTGTGTGTGTCCATGTATGCATATGCATGCATAGGTATGGGTGCCTGCTAAGTTCAGAAGAGGACATGAGATTACTCTACAGCTGGAGTTACAGGGGTCTGTGAGCTCCCAGTTATGGGGACTGGGAACCAAACCTGGTTCCTCAAAAAAGCATCAAGTGTAGTACCTGCTGAACTGCCTCTCACGATCCAACATTGCTGTGTTTTAAAGGACATATCTCTTCCTCATTCCCAATCCTTACATCTTTTCCCATTCTTTTTTTTTTCAGAACTGATATGTAAAAAGATAATGAAGGACAGTCAAAAACCATATTTGGACCATTAGATTCTTTTGCTGTGTGAGTAAAGCAAACATGAATTTAACTGGTGCCTTCCTGCCAGACTTCTACTCAAACACATGGGTTTCTTGGGAGTGTCCTGTTCATGTTTCCTTTTTGTCTAAAGGTTACTTCAAGTTGTGTGTCAGAAGCCAGTGGGATGGTTCAGTGCTGCCAAGCCTGATGACCCAAGTTTCATTCTGGGACCCACATGCTGTAAAAAGAGAATCACCTATCCTAAACTGTCCTTTCACCCTCACATGGTTCCCAATGCATGCCTTTGACCCAACAAATCAAGCAAGCTTAAGATTTTTTCTTATAAAGAATTGTATTTAAAGGATAAGTCTCTAAAGCCCTTCCCTGATCACTGGGCTTAAGTTTACCCAGCATGCTTTGGGTCTATCTATTGAAAGTCTACTATTCTGAACACAAGATATAGTACTTGGGGAAAACAAAACAAAACAAAAACCAATATACTAATGAAATCCACTGTGTGCTAATTATCTTATGATATTGGAATATACAGGCATAGATGAGGACTGAATCAATGAAAACACATAAAATAAAGCAATTCTGAGACATTACAAATGACTGGGGCATCTGTCCTAGAACACAGTTTTGTGTTAGGCTTATATGGTGGAAAGTTGATTTCATGTAGACCTGAATTTTATTTTGACTGTGCTTCTCCATTGATGAACAATTTGTGTAACCTCTCTCAGCTTTGCCATACCCTTTCCTAAATGGAGATTTTAGTATCATTAGTGCTGTGTAGATGAATCAGGTTTTAGTATGAGTGATGTATCATGGTGATGGATTCCTTATGCGGCTTTGGTATGTAAGTGTCCTGCCCTTTGCATCCAAGGCACTGTATGTACTGTCTAACTCACACTGAGATTCCCCTGGTCTTTGGACTTTCCAGGACTTACTGAAGACTATTGACTTCTCGGTACAATGCCTCTATACGGGGTTCTCTGGTTTATCTCTGTTTTCCTTAGAGGGATCAGAACTATGTTTAAACTGGTGATAGAGGCAGAAAAATGGTGGTAATGGTTTGAAGATTAGAATGCAGTCAGGGGAGTATCAAAATGCCAGGGGAGAGGAACTGAAGGTTTCCAGTGAAGAGTACCAGAGAGTTACCTGGTGGAATCTTTCTGACTTGTCTGGTAAGTGGCCACTAGACATCTAAGACACCACACCCAGCCTTAATACCACTTAATCCATTTACTTTCTAGGAATAACAACCACAGTTATTAATGGTTTCCAGAAACTTAACTTTCTTGTGGAGGAAAGGGTTTATTTTACCTTATAACTCCCATCACTGTGGGAGCTCAAAGTAGGAACTTGGAGGCAAGAACTGAAGTAGAGGCCATGGAGGGGCGCTGTTTACTGACTTGTTCCTCATGGCTTGCTGAGCCTGCCTTCCTATTTAATGCAGGACCACCAGCCCAGGAGGTCAATTAATCAGTAATCAGGAAAATGCTTGTCAGACTTGCCTATAGGCCAGTATTATGGGGGAATTTCCTCAATTGAGAGTCTCCCTTTCCAAATGACACTAGCTTGTATCAAGGTGACAAAAGACTAACCAGGAAAAACAAATGGCATCTAGAGGCTACAACCTCAACAGGGGGAAAATGAGCCTTTGGAGAGTCTAAATCCCTGCTTTATATATAAAGTACAGATAAACTATATAGTACATGTATAGTATACATAAACATTATATACCTTAGATACGCTACACAGTAATACATAGTACCACAGATATATAAGCATTTTGTAGTATCTGTGATATTATATTTTTCCAACGTAGTATTTTTATTGATTATTTGGGAATTCACATAATACATCCTGATCACATCACTTCCCAGTCCTCCCAGGTCCACACCCCCCCAAACTTAACTTTTAAATATATTTATGACCACACCTTGTGTATAAAGTAGAGAGTTGACTGTCTACACGGAAATATGGGCAGCATTTGTTTTCAAATATTTTAATTCATTGAATGCACAGACAATAAGGCACAGTGACATTAACAACAATATGACCATGGATGCTTCTAATGTCACAATGAACAGATGTAAACAATTAGTGGGGGAACTAATAACTTAAAATAGCCTTTCAAGGCCACTCTGTCATGAACCATTTCTGTATCAACTGCTGCATTCCAAGAAGGATCTAGAACCAAGCGCTCTCCTTAGGAACGACTCAGTGTATTCTGGACAAGTGACTCAGTTTAGCGAGGACATGTCATAATCTGACACGAGAGACACCCACCCCCAGGAATACATCTTACATATCAACGGACACCACACAGATGAAGCACAAATGAAACATAATTAAAAGGAATGTATAAATAAGTTAAAGGTTTTTTCATCTCTATGTTTAGTGATATTTATTAAGGTCTACCATCTATAGCTTAGAGTAAAAAAACAAAAGAAAAGCAGACACACTTTTGAAAGGAGAAACACGTTACATGGGGAAGCCCTTTTGTTTATAATTTTATTTGTTTGCAGAACATTCGTGTATTGGATAAGATGACCTCCATGTTTGTTCGTTTTCTGTGATTTTCCTAAAGTCGTGTCTCCTTGCCGGGCCAGTACTTGGGCTGTTGCCCACGATCCCTAGCAGCACGTGCTTCCATCCTGAAGCTTGAAGATGCCACTGCTTTGCCTCTTGTGGCTATGGAGCAGCTGTGTTTTGAAACGTACTTTTTCTTTAAAATAAAAAGCACAGCCATGCTTAGGAAAATGGACACCGTACCAAGGAGGGTGGTTAGTCCCAGGTATATGTGTCTAAAAGAGGAAAGAATCTCAGTTATAATTGTTGCAGCTACTCAGCTTGAAATAAAACATAATTGAAGCTTCTAACAGTGTGGTGATGGCTCTCTCGAAGGACACAGATTTCCTGGCATAGACCCGTGGCTGTGAACACTGGTGAACTACCAGCAGCTCACTGCCATATTTCTTAGCATTGTTCATTCCTAGCTACTGCAAATGACATAATAAATTCCACTTTCTGTATGAGGATTCCCTGAAGTTAGGTAGCCATCTTCCTGCTTGTTCAGGGCTGTTCCAGTTAGGCTATTGCTGTCTTAAGTATAATTTTTAAAATGTCTCTTCCACTTTCCAAAGTTTCTAGGTTTCATTGAGTCTTGTGGTGACCCTGCATCAAATATTCCTCCCACACATTCCAAAGAAAAGCTGCAGCAAGCAATTGGAAGAAGGGGTCATAATTGATAGTGGAGCAGAACCACCTGCAAATTAATGTAATGTTCAGTTTACTCTCTTCCCTGAGAAGCCTTGTAACACCAGAAGAACATAGACAGACAGGCTTCAGCTCTGTCCTGGTCACTTGGTAAATATTCTTACAGTCTCACAGTCCCTGCATCACACAACTGGCACATTAGTGAATATTTAGCCACAGCAAATGAGAGCATATGCCAAATCATACCCCCTGAACTGGCCCTGGTCATGAACCAAAAACCCTTCACACATACCATCAAAGCCTATTAAACCCATGTTATTCAAATTCAACTTAGATGCTGGAGACTGAGCTTTACTTCTCTGAAACAAAGTGTTTGGCTTGTAAGCCTTTGAAGAAAAGGAAGTCCCTGCTCTTAAGCCATTGGAGTATGGCTTTCAGCAATAAGGAGAATAAAGGTCTGATGAACAGAACTGAACGATACCGTAGTGAGAAAACCACACTCTCCACCCCAGACACACTCACCCACACAGAGGAAGCCTTTTACTTTTATGCATTTCAAGTACTGGAATAATTGAACATCAGCTTGGCAATAAGAGCCGGACGGATTGAGAGCCAAATCCTGATCTTGCCCAGGGGATTAGCACTGACGCAAATGGTACAGTTTGGCTCAGTTTAAAAAAGAATAGAATTAAACCCAGAATGTGACCTACATTTAAATGCATCTGAGTATCAGGAAATGTCTTGCTATTAGTGTACACAAACTTTTAAAAATGTTACTGTTTTCTAGAAATTTCCATCATTTGTCATATGTGTGTGCTCATGTAAATACATGCACATGTGTGTGTTTGTGTGTTGTGTGTGTGCATTGTGTGTGTATGTGTGTGTGCTGTGTGTGTATGTGTGTGTAGTGTATGTGGTGTGTGTGGTATGTGTGTATGTATGTGGTGTATGTGTGTATGTGTGTGTGTGAGGGATGCTTACTCTGTAGCTTCAGGTTAGCCTAGGACATATTATACAGCCCACGTCGACCTCAAGTGAGCATTAGTTCTCTTCTGTTAGCCCCCTAAATTTTGGGATTGCAGGGGTGAGGCATTTTATCTAACTCATTTTCATCATATTAAAAAAATAATTACTTGGAAGGGGGATAAATTAGAACAAAGTATAATGATACATATGTGTGAGAGCATCATAATTATATAAATTCATGAATCCTATTACTTCATATGATAACTTAAAAATTAAGTACAAAATAATGATGACATTTAAATGAAATTCAGTATTAACACTGGGAAATACATATTTTTAAGTCAAATAGCAAATAACAGAATTGGTACATGAAACAGTTCCCAGTTTTTTTGTTGATTTATCTTAGAAACATGGAAACCACATAAGAAATTCTACATGACAAGGATGTTGCATAGGATGTAATGCAGTAGCACCGGAATCTGGGACTGGATTGACATTGTACCTGAAAGCGTGAGAATCGTATAATCTGCAGGAGCCTTGGCTTCCACATTTCTTAAATCCCCATTTGAGGCATGAAGTGTCAATCAAAACACCAAAATACACAGGAGCTGGAATTCCTGCTGTAAGAAACACAAATAATTGCATCTAAGTTTTGTCATGAATGTTAACCCAGAACTACTTACCTTGAGCCCAGGAATCACTGTTTGGGAGACGAAAAGCCATAGTTACTCACTGAGACCTCTTTGAGAGACTTCTATATGGCTCAGTGCTTGGTCACAAGCTCCGGACTCATGCAAAAACTCTCGTTAGCTTAAGTCCAGGTGTACAGCTCCTGGCACACCACACTCAATGTAAACACTTATCAATGTGAACTTCTCCCTAAGCTGAATCACCAAGTGGCCAGGGCTGTGAGCGTGGATGTCATCTTTGAGCCATTCTCTCAGATTTAATACATCCCAAGTCCTGGCACATCTCATATACTCTCCTCCCTCTACTGCTCCAAGGTAAAGCCTAGCAAGGATATGTGTACAGTTCACTGATAAAGAATTTGCCTAGCATACTTTAGAGCCCTAGGTTCAATTCCCAGAAACTCCACCACAAATAAAAGCAACAGCTAAGGGTTCTTTTTGGCCAATTTCCTTATCACTCTATGACCTATTTACTATGCAAGTAACCACACAGATAATTTCCCAAGGTATTTGTTCCAAGACCAAACACTATATTTTGGATCCTAGATTTATTGAATGTCTTTCTTGTTTGGTTTTTGTTTGTTTGTTTTTTTGTTTGTTTTGAAATGGGGTTTCTCCATAACAGCCCTAGCTGTCCTGGAACTAGGTCTTACAGACCAGGCTGTTCTAAAACTTATAGAGATACAGTTCCTTCTGCCTCCTGAGTGCTGGGATTAAAGGCATGACTATTGAATGTCTTTCAATGCTCAAAATGCTCTGTCCTCTTGCCTAATACCCTGAGTAGCTTTCTTTGTCTTAAATAAATTTAAATTTACTTTTCATTTCTTTTTTTCTTTCTTTTTTTTTTGTGACAGGGTTTCTCTGTGTACCTTTGGAACCTGTCATAAAACTCATTCTGTAGACCATGTTGGCCTCCAAATCACAGAGATCTGCCTGCCTCTGCCTCTCAAGTGCTGGGATTAAAGATTTGCACCACCACCCTACCTCTCTGCCTCCCTACCTCCCTCTTTTTAATGCTCACATACCTGTTGTATCTCAGTCCAAATAATTCCCTTCAGAAAGGGCCATTCCAATGGCCTAAAATGTATTAATTTTGCTCACTAGCACACAGCTCAGTCCCTTTCACCAACCTGTAATGTTCTCAGAACAGCTTGTTTGTTTAATTGTGTTTTATGCTAAATCCAAACTATGCAGGCACAGGCAGTTCCTTTCTTATTCATGCTACAATGCTCATCATTTCTCAGTAACTGATTAGTGAGGGCACAATCCTATGAAGAAAAGGTAAACTCTCACACTCAAGTTTTAACACAAGCATAATGACAGGATTAAAAGGCGTTTACAGCTTCATTTCTTTTTATGTATTGCAAAAAGATGGCCATCCTTTTTGCACCATTGCTTCTGTTGTTTATGAGTCTCCAACATTTTCACAGCTAACAAAGGAAGGGTTTATTTTGAGCACGTAGTTCAAGGTATTTGAATAAACCATGGTAGGGAAAGCATGCCAAAATGCTTGGCCCATGCAGCAGGGGCATGCTTGGTAAATGGACAGAGCAGGAAGCATGGAAAACTACAGTTAGAAGTTGCCAAGTTACAGACCTCAAGTCTCACCCCTCCCCTATCAGAGATTTCCACCTCCAGCTAGGTCTCACCTCCTAAAGATACCTCAACCTTCCAAATGGTGACACCAGCTTGCAATCTGGTGCACACTCCAACAAATGAAACCTGTGGGGCATATTATTTCATATTCAAACCACAGCATATAGTTCCACAAAATAGTGTACTCTTACTACAGTCATCCTAAAGCATTTATGATACCATCAAGAAAATCAGGCCTTTGATAATTAACAGAAATTATTTTTGAAATACAGCCTGCTTAAAATCTATTGAAGTTTTATGAATAGTTGTAATGTAATTGATTTAAATTAGAATCATTTATAGTCATATCAGCTTCAGGCAAAACATATGCCAAAAGTGAAATAATGACATGATCTCACAGGTCACTTTTTATTGACAAATCTCTCATGAGGGATGAGGGTTAGGGCCCTCATATTTAAAAAGAGAACATTATTCAGTGATAGTGTACACTAAAGTCAGGTCTTCACAACAGAAAGGGCAAAATGACACACAATGTCACGTACATAGTTCTCACCTGAAATATTTTATTGACTGTCTATAAAAAACAATCAGGTAAATGCAAATGATTTCCTGGTAATCTTTTTGCTATTCTATGAAGCCAACCATCCTTAATGCCCCCCAAATCCTGAGCATTGTTTAGGTCCCAATCCTGAGTTTTGTCTATCAGTGAATGGAAACCTTCCTTATGAAAGAAGGCCAATGTACTTTGCATCCTCCATCAATAGAATCTATCCTTATGCTATTACCAATCCCTTCTCTGTAGGCCCTTACCCTGAGTGCTGTTTATCAGCCAACAGAACTCATTCTTATTAAAAGGTCACAGGTGCTTTGTTCATTTGCAAGGGAGTTTCAACGTAGTCATCACTAAAGCTTTTGTTGTGATAACTGTGGCAGTTTCCCCACCCCCAAGTTTTACTGTGCTTAAATGTGTAAGTAAAATAAACCACAAGGTCAGATTCTGGAAGTTTTGACCCAGAGGCTGCTAAAATGATGCTGATCTGAGCTTCATTCTTCACCTTTCACAGATTATTTCCCTGCCATCCATGACACTTCTGGGGCCCCTGACAATAAACCAGCACACACACACACACACACACACACACACACACACACAATGTTTTAGAAAGAGAAGAAAAAAAATGATCCATTTTATTATACTTACCAAGAACTCTCACGGCTAAGGTGTAGATTCCCAGAGCAAAAGACTTAAGATGTGGTTGAATGCACCTAAAATAGGAGAAGCATCAGTTAGAAAATACGGCCTGAGAGACTTCTCAGTGGTCGAAGCACTTGCCATACAACCATGAAACCAGAATTTCAGACCTTCAGAACCCACATAAATACTGAGTGGGCCTGTTCTTTTTGCCTCAAAAGCAGAGACAGGGAATCATCAGAGCTAGCAACACTGACAAGTTCTGCCTGGGAGATGCTGCTTCAGTGAATAAGGCAGAAGAGCACTGGAAGAGCGCTTGAGGAGGTTGCCGACATCAATCTGGGGCTTGCTCATGAGTGCACACCCACACAGGTGTGTCCTATACACATGCAAACATGTTCGTTTGTACACACACACAGCTTTTCATACAGTCTTTAATCTGGTCAGGATTATCTAATCATTATTCATTTTCTTTAATTACATTAATTTCATTTAAAGAGTGACATAAAATTTAAAATTCCCCCATTTTTAAATATATGATTTATACCAGAAATCAATGCTTAATTTCTATTTAAATCATTCTTTAAAACATATATTCTAATTAAAACATGCAAAGGAGTGCATATTTTAGGGTCCTAAATTGTTTTATGTCATTCACATAATATTCATAGATAAGAATCTTCAAATGATAAAAAAATAATACTTATCATGGAAAATTCCAGTCTTAGAATATGTAAAATATAATAGCCTATAGATCAAAATGATCAATTTAAAACACTGTGTTATTAAACATACCTTTAATTGTTTATTACATACATTTGATGAAAGCATATTTAATGAAAGGTACATTTTACCTGTGTTATTAATACTGCCTCCAACATCAGAAGCCCCACATGGTGTTTACCACAAACCTTCAATGATGTAGATTTTAACACTGCTCTAGATCAAGGGCTTGCAAACATGCTGAACTAAGAAAACTATTCAGCTACATTTTTATATAAAATCCTAAAGTGGGTTCATCTGAGAGTGGGATCAGGAACTAGGGAAATTATTTCAACAAGCCATCAAGAATCATAAACATGGAGAAAACTATATACCACATTTGAGAGTGAGGTTGTAGCAAGGAGACTCAGTACTCACCTCAGGAGTAATATATACCCAGGTATGCCACCTAGAGATAAGGTATATGACGTGATGACTGAAATCACAAGGAAATACAGAAACATTTGGGGACATTCGTTATCTTTCTGACACCTGCCCATCATGCCTGACCAGTTTCCTGACTTAGGGGCTGCAAGTCCCACACAAGTGCAGTTAGAAAACATCTGCAACACAGTAGAGAAAAGTCCAATTATTGAGGTATATTTAATAAAATCAGAAGTTACCAATTTATTTTAAAATACTTTCAGTAAAATATATATGTCTTACATGATCAATGGGGGTATATTTTTGCTATATTAATATATATTAAGGTGAACTCTAATAGAGTATTTCATTGTTTAAATCATGACCTACAGTCTACACATGAGTGTCACTACTATTTCATGCTTTGAATATTATCATGGTCAACTTTGTGCTCAACTTCTTTCTTTCTCATTAATCTACTTTCCACATAGTAACCAAGTGAACGTTCAAATTCTCTCACTGACTTCAACCCTGAAATTAGTATTCATTAAACGTTTGTAAGGATCCCAAATCATTGTTAGTGAATTATACATTCTCTATCACGTAGCTCTCAGATCTCACCCTGATCTCTTTGGTCAACAATCTGCCTGATTGCCCTCTATTTTGGTTACACAATGGCTCCAACAGGGCAATTTTACAAGCATGTTTTATCCGAGAAGCCCCCCACCATATACACAAAGCTTAAAGACAGAAAATTTACTCATGTCTTATAGTACTGCTTCTCCCTGTGCAGGAAACTTTCCTCTTGCTTGTTTTGCTTCCCTTTGACCCTAAAGATTTCATGAGAGAACTCCATGACCTCCCCATTTAAATCACAGCCCATCTGTCTGCCCTTGTATCCTAACTCAGTCCCTGTCACTAGTAAATGGCACTTAATTTTAAATGGCATCTCTATTAGAATACTACCTCTATAAAAGGAGGACACCCTACCTTGTCACTACTACACATCCAGAGCCTAAAACTGACCTCATTTTCAGTACTTAAGAAAAAAGTCATTAAATAAATGGACAGAATTAGAAGATATGGAAGAATTTACATTGTCTTTTAGGGAAAATAATCTTTATGCATAAAAGTCAACTAAATCTTGAATATAAAGAAGTAATATTTATAACTCATGGGTTATTTAGGTGCAGTTTATTTATGAAATGAGAATCTCATAGCATTTATTATCTATTTGTAATTAAAAGAGTCTTAGTCCTTGACAGAAGCTCTAGCTATCTGAAAAAAAAAAAGACTATAACTGAGAAATTGCCTTCATAAGATTGGGCTGTAAGCAAGTCTGTAGAGCATTTTTGTATTTAGTGATTGATGTGGGAGGTCCCAGTCCACTGTGGTGGGTGCCGCCCCTATTCAGGGGTTTCTGTATGGTATGAGAAAGAAGGAAGAGCAAGCCACAGAGAGCAGGCCAGTAAGCTGCCATCATCTAGAGCCTCTGTTTCAGTTCCTGCTTCTAGATTCCTGCCCTGGCTTCCTCAGATGATGGACCACGATGCGGAAGCATAAGTGAAATAAACTCTTTCTTCTCCAAGTCAGGGTATTTTATCATAGCCGTGGACACACTAACTGAGACAACAAGTTGTCATTTTTATCGCTGAAGAGTGACTTTGCAAATAATGAATGAAATAAAGTTGAAAAAATTCATATATATCTGTAGGTATATGCATGCATACATATGCAGTCATATATATATATACATATATATATATATATATATATATCCAGGACCATATATATATGTATGGCTCTGGTTAAATGTTTTTAGTTCTATTCCTGATTTTGTTTTATTGTTATTTGTTCCTGTGCCTCACTATCATCTGGCATGCCCTCAGATGTGTTGGGCAAAGCATTCATAACTAGCCAACAAGTATATTTAAATATTTAAATATATATGTGTTGTTCAGTTTTTACGAAAGGCAGTGTTAGACCTGAAATGCCAAGGTGTGATTAAAGGGTGTGTCCTTCACAACTACTTTCCACTGTGCACTAAATGCTCATCCCAGTTTATTGGAATATTAAGTTCCTGTGCTATGAAACATGGAGGTAAGGGCTTTGAAAGGTTGTAAAGATAACGTTTTCAGAAATTAGTGTCCATATTAGAAAAATATCATTTTAATATTTAAACAGGAAGCGTTCTCCTCTAGTACCAGGGATTGGGTGTCCAGTTGATGGATTTGTGAAAAAGATCCTGATGGTTTTATTGAGGTGGTCAAGGGCAGGAGAAGGGGCTAGGTAGAAAAAGTGGTCCCTGTGGAGTGCCTTGGAAAGATGTAGCCTGTCCTCTGCTCTGCTTTCCCTTCCGTTCCTGTGAGGCTAATGGCCTCTATCACACAGCTGCTGCAGGGTAAACCGCAGTAGCACAGGTCCAGAAGCAGCAAGCCTAGAGTCCACGCCGAGAAGCTAAACTGGAACAATGCTTTCCTCTCTTTAAAACTTACTCTTAGTTAACTATAGGAGTGAAAAGGCTGACTACTACAGACACCTTGACCTTCTTTCTGCCCTCCACACCCTGAGGATGTCAGCAACCCCGTGGCCAGCCCTCACCTTGCAATGGACCCACTGGCACCTTCAGTTGGACTTCCTGTCTACAGCTGTGAGGAACAAACGCTTGCAGTTCAAGCCATTCGTCTCAAGTGCATGAGTGATTTCACCTGGACAGGCTGAGCGAGCTTCCTGTCTAGAGTTCTGACTCCATTCCACTCTCCAGAAGCTCTGCAGTGCCAACCATCAGAGCTGCTTCAGAACCGTCAACTTCCCTGGAATCAGTTCTGGGCTCCTGAATCCATGTCTTTTTAGATACAGACCTCATAACCTCCCATATTTGTGCTGTTCCTAAAACCTCCTGAATCTACTGGCCTTAGTTCAGGGGACACAGATCCTAAAGTAGACCTCACAAGTGAAATTATAAGATTGTTGGGACTTATTCTTGGCTAATGCTTTTCACAATAAAGTGATAGGTGTAGACTAAACAATTATGAAAGTTGTTATACCTGTTTCATGACTAATTCTTTCCTTAAGTATTTCGGCTGTAGATCAAAAAGAGTGTTTTAAATTCCCAATATTTCCATATAAATACAAGGGTTGGATCAGAACCATGGCTTCTGCCTGGGTCCCTCCCAAGACCCCAACGAAGTAACACAGGTCTACATGATAGCCAGCGAACAGGCAGATACATTAGGAGAGATGTCTTACAATGTTCTTTCCACTCTGACTGGAGGATTGACAACCAGCAAGACAAGCTGACACATATGTGATCCCATTGTCCCCACACATGGGCTCCCATTTTGACTCTGAACATTTACATCTTGAGTTGCAATCTGAAAAGAGAGCTCGTTCATGATAAGAAACAGGTTTGGTTCTGAAAAGAAACGTAACAGTATAAAATATTACCTCTTAGCAGGCAAGATCCTGATTTTAAAATGTCAATGCTCTTGAGTCATATAAATGCTGTGATATTGACAACTGTTTGTCTTTTGAATATACAATTGTTGTGTTAAAAGTTTCAGCATCTAAGTGTTAAATATAAGCCAACTGTTAACTGACTTTCCCTTAAGCCCCATCTTAAGAGGTTTACCAGTTCCAGCCACATCCACTTCTTAGCTTAAAGGTCTTATTAAAGTCTCCTGCTTCCAGGGTTCTGTAATAAATTTTTGAGCAGAGGTGATTCCCTCCATGATTTCAAGATAGAAAAGTAAAATTCAAGGTCCATTTATGACATTATACACGCTATCTTTTCAATGATGTGGACATCAGTATGATGGATGTTGGTTATAGCAATGAATAAAAGCAGCTAACAGGGAACACCCTTCTTGCTTGCACTGTAACCACATATCTAGTTGTATATGTTTTTCCAGTAATGCACTGTGAATCCTTTGTCCCTCCATTCTCCCCATGCACAGAGGTCTTCTGCATCCTTTGTTGTCTTTGCTGACATTATTCCACATTGCAGCACTCTGAAGTGCCAGCTTTAAGAGGATGAAAACTGTCTGTAAATATTAATGAATAGCACTTATCTTCCAACTGTTGATTTTCTTGAACTATTTTTTATCTTTTTCTAGTCTGTTCACAGGGTACTTACCCATGGGTGTGTCATTTTGGCTTCATGCCATGTGTTATTCTTATAGACCTTTCATAATTCAGTTTCTTTCCTCATTTTATTTTCTTTTGGGTTGATAATAATAATGACCTTAATAAATTTTATGCAGATATTATTTTCGATACTTAAATGAACAAATAATATTTTGAAATGTATAAAATGTAGAGGCCAGACCAGGTTATTTATTTATTCTTATAATGCTGATGTCAAATATAATTCTTAGCACATAGTCGAGCATGACACATAGTTTCTGGGAAATAAATCATCAAAGAAAAAAATGTCTTTTCAACTGAGTCTGGGTCTTGCTATATAGCCTGGGTGGGGCTTGAACTAACTCTCAGACCACCAGCTTCAATCTCCCTAACGTTAGTATTGAAATCATGTTAGAATTGAAATCACATTCATCAAAAGGTGGTGTTTAGAGAAAGAACCAGTGTTTTGGGTCCTTGCTTCTAATGTGTATTTCCTCTATAATTACAGCAGTAATTTCTTAATTGAGATAACTGTCCATCTAATTGGGCTGTTTTGGATTGGGCCATCACAAATGTCACCCCCAAACAGACAAAAGGGCATTTTCCCATTTTCCTAGGTCTCAGGTAAGTCCTCTGTGAACATTTAATCTTCTCTTCCATGAAGTGTTAACTTCTGGCTAAGATGAATGGTTCCATCTGAAGCTGTAATGACAATAATATCTTTAAAAGCTCAGCATCAGTATCAGTCTGCTAAAGGTCCTGTGAGATCAAGGTTGCAGATGATTGGACCTCCAGTGAACCCTGGTGTGATGGAGGCCACCCACTCACATGCATATTAGGAAGGTCATTTTAGGCAGGGCTCTTGTTCAAACTCACACCATTCATTAGTGACAAAGCTGGGCATGGCCCCTCCCAGGTCTGTTGCATTTAAATTCCTGTCCTCATGCCAGCATTGTTCTCCTTATTACAGGAAAGATACACCCTCAATTGCCATATCTCAAGCTTGTCAGTAGAGGACCTCTTGGGTGTCTGGAACCAAAATAATCATTTCAAACGAAGCAACACAGGACAATCCCAGGGGAAGCATTTTGCATTGAAGTTAATTATTTTACATTACTGGGGATACGTTTACTTTGTGATCTAGGACAGACTTTAATTGCAAACACATCTTATGAAAGATGTGTTTGACAGTAGGGTTGTGACTTAAATTTTTAATTACAAGAAGAGTTTCAACAAACATGTTAGAGTGTTTATTCCCCAATGAGACTTTTCTTTCAGAGAGCTGCAGTAAGCAGTGGGATGTTTTCCTAGTGGTGTTGCCTTTCTTTGATTGCTTTCAATGGCACAGCTATTCTCAAAGGTTAAATCTGCCACAGTGGAGGATGATTGAAAAGTATGGGAAGCAGTTTTGAAAGAGGAGCTTCAGAATGCACCAAACAATGACACGACACCATGATTGTCATTCAGCTACAGTCTCTCAAGGTGACTCTGTTGAAGAGGCTAGTACTCAATGGTCATATTATCTTTTATTTCTTTAAAATATTTCATCTTTTATCATGGAAGTATTCATAATATGAACCTCAAAATTTTGAGCAGTTGTTTATGTATTTGCTTTTGCCTTCGAAACAGCATAACACAGAAAGAATAGTATACTGTGAGTCATGCCTATGTGCAAAGTCAAGACCTACACTTGATAGATGCTAAGTTTGGAGAGCAAATTAACTTTTAAAAACTCACTTTCCTTCTAAGAAGGTTAGCAAAACTACCTTGTATAAGAGTTTAGAGAATATGCATTAGAAAGTGAAAGTTATATGCTTTATAAACAGAAAACTACAAATGATTCCACCATGCTGGTTTATAACAAATATGAAAGGTACCGACAAAAATAGCAAAAGGCTTCTACTCCTTGTAGAGCCTTTTATTGCTTCATCCTTATCATTAACACTTAATATCTATTTCTGACCATTCTTCATTCTCAAACCCTGCTAGGCATACATTTATGTTTAACTTTGCATTCACTGTTTTCATTTTAAATGATAGATATTTCATCATGTGGTTAGTTACAAGCAGAAGGAATCATTTGGTGAAGAAAATGGAGGCTAGAATGTAGACATTAGGCAGATGATTAGGTAGAATAGAGGAGATACAGAGGATTAAAAATGTCCTCTATAAGCTTGTGTTTGAATACTTGACTGTAACATTGGTGGTATTTTGAGAGGTTGTGGAAGCTTTGGGAGGTGGGGTCTGTAGGTCACTGGGTCAGAGCCTTGCTTTCTGTCCCATCTCTGTCTCCTGGTCTGATGAGATGTGGACATGGAGTTCCTATGCACTCAAAAACTCACGGGGTCACCTGCTTCTATGCCTTCCCCTCCATGATGGGCTGCATACGTCCCTTCAAATCGCAAGCCTAAATCAACACCACGTTTCTTAAAATGCTTCTTGACAGGTATTTGGTCACAGGCATTGAAAACAGGAAACTAATAAATACAAGATCTGGATAGTCTCCCTTTCTACCTCTGCAGGGCGTCAAGCAGTATGGTGTATTTAATCTAGATCTTCTCTGGTACATGGTAGAGGTTCAGTAACATCTACAGTCTGGTAGATTTAATCTAGATCCCCTCTGGCATATGGTAGAGGTTCAATAACATCTGTAGATGAACAGTGTAGAACAACTAGAAGGACGCAGGCGTTCCCTATGGTGGAGTGCTAAAGACTCTTAAATGGGATAGTGAAATAGGTCTTATAAGATCTAGTCTTGCATTAAGAAAGAAGCTAGAAACAACACAATCCAATCACCTACCACATATGGGATGGCACAGGCAGGAGGACAAAACCAGGAAATGTAAATTATTCATGATTTTCAGACTCGGTGCAAGATGGACAGCTAAGAACAGCTGCTGTGAGACAACTTTTTCTCCTGACCCTTGCTGTGATTTTAACACAGCGGAGACTAGGAAAGATGGCCTAAAGACCAATCCAGCTAACTAGGAGTCCAGAGGGGAGAAAAAGCAACTTCTCCCAACTATTTTATGACAAGCAAGTTCTAATAATTATCATGTATATGACATTACTTAGGCCTTCAAATCTTAAAATATAGTTATTATTCTATTTTTCAAATTAGAAAATAATAGCCCAAATACTTCAACCCATGAATGATCACTTTGCTAAGAATTCAAGCTCTGTATTCCCATGATTACATTGCTTCATTTGTCAGGTTCATTTTCTGGTGTTTGTTTGTTTTGTGTTTGTTTTCTTATTTATTTTTTCAAGACATACTTTCTCTGTAGCTTTAGAGCCAGTCCTGGAACCAGCTCTTGTAAACCAGGCTGATCTCGAACTCACAGAGATCCACCTGCCTCTACCTCCGAAGCGCTGGGATCAAAGGCTTGCACCATCACCTCCCAGCTTCAGGTAAATTTTCTAACATAAGATGTAGATTAAGCAATTTTTATGTTTCTATAAGACATTAAATTCATATCTGGAAAAACAAATTTGGGTGACAATAATAGATTCTATGTTTTAAGTAGTCCCAGCTAGTCCACTAAAAATTTCCTTCCTATGAAAGTTATGAGACTTAAAACATTGATCTTATTAGAGAACTCTATTGACAATTGAATTAAACAAACCCACCTCCTCATAAGACATCATGAGGGAACATACCCTTGGTAGGTCACAGTCAGTCCAGCCACACCAGGATTTTCACATCCCAGGGCAAACAGAGAGAGGAAGAGGAGGTAGCCGAAGACAGATGATCCCAAGTAGAGTTTTGTAGCTTCGAGCACCCCCAGCCTGAATTTTTTCATAACTATTCCCCCAGAGAAAATTCCAAGGGCCACTGCAGGAATGTTGATAAGCCCTGAGGAATAAGAAAATACGTCACTCAGTAACTGCCTACAAGAAATCTCTGAGCATCACACACGTTCTTAGTGACCGCTAGCACAAGTGCAGTCTCGGAGTCTCACATTCCACACGACGCAATGTGCAATTCCACTGATACTGAATGAACTGATCAAGTGATGTCCTTTCTGGTAGATAACCAGAACTAACATTCTCAATCAGGTGGCAGTTGGGTAGACATTAATCTTCCTTAACACTATCTCTTGTATAATAGGCACATTATATACTTAATCTTTTAGCTAATCTTCATGAAATTAAAAGAAATAACATCTCTGGTTAGTCTTATATTATCTTATATCTTTAAGATGTTTCTACCATATATCGATAGATGAAAGGGAATTTAATCCATCTATTTTATTTGACTATGGGTTGTAATTTTTTAATATTAAAATTAAGATATTAGAATCCACCTCAGGCTGGAAACTAGCTCCAGGGTAGGGTCTAGGTAGAAGTAGGCTAATTGTCACAAACGCCTAAATATGAATTTATTAAAATGGAATAAAGGACATGCCAACTTTGCTCTCCAGCTAAACTGAGGTTTGGGGATGTAGCAGGTGAAGGAGGTGGAAGTGACCTGGTACTTTGAAGGAGCAACAAACATCTAAAAGACATGTGATTGCTATTTTAAAAATAAGGAACATATGCTAGGAAGAATGTAAAGTATGTAGTTACTTGAGATCCAAATTCATTCATTCTAACAGTTTCTCTTAATTAAAAAAAAATAAGTGTGAAGATAGAATTAGCTCTCTCTCTCTCTCTCCCCCTTCCTTCTCTCTCAGTCGTGTGTGTGTGTGTGTGTGTGTGTGTGTGCGCGTGTAACCTTCCATTCTCTATCCTAGAAGTTAGCTCTGCTATGGATTCTGTGTCTATTATGTTAGTGTTAGTTCTTGTGGTCATGTGAATGAGAAGTGTTACCCAGAGATTCAGATATTTGAACATTTGGTCTCCAATTTGAGGAGCTGGTTAAAGAAGTTATAAGGAGGTACAGCCTTGCCTGAGGAACTTCTTTACTGGAAAGAGGTTTTGAGAAATGGAAGCTTGATTCTATTTCCAGTTCTCTCTCTGCTTTGTGTTTGTATTTGAAGATGCAAGCTCTCATCTTCCTGCCCCTGACACCATACCTGCCACTTGCTGCCATGCCACTACCCAGCTAAGATAGACTCGCCCTTCTGGAATCATAAACCAAAATAAACTCTTCTATAAGTTCCCTTTGGGGATGGTTATTTTATAACAGAAACAGAAAGGTAAACAATGCAGCCCTATTTTTATAAACATACATTCAATAAATACAGAAAACATTGTGCTGTTGAGAACATTGGGAAACCCCAGTTAGCAGTCTTCTGGACATGACAAGAGCCTGCACTTATGAACTCACGGTTACTTGCATAAGTTCAAAGTAGCCAAAATTTCAGCATGTATGAGAGAAGGACTCGGGATTCCTAATTGAGGAGCTATTGACTGTTGGTGGGTGCTAGGGGAGGAACAATCAGTTTTCGTAAAAGTGTGGATGCTTGGGTGGACCATGCTTCAATGGATGGTCCCATATCCATGAGTGTACGGGCAGCATAAATTGTACTCAATATATATATAACACATATACACTCTATCTATCTATACCTATAACAATATTAAAATATTTAATATATCTATTTCAATATTCAATATATTCACTGAATAGTATTCATTATATATATTCCAGTGAACATATTGAATATTAAATACGGGGTTAGTGAATCTGGGGGAAGTTGCATGCAGAAATGAGGGTATCTATGCATGAATGTCTCAAAGAACAGCAAAGGCCTCTCCAAACATCATGGTAACAATCTGTAGTAGTGGCAGAGGGTGGAGGGTTGGGAATGGGAATAAGGTAGTTCAGGTCAACACAACTCTGTAACTGGTGTTGGTTCAAACACAGAGCATCTGACCCCAAGTAGTTTATTGTAGGCATATTTAAGCACAGCGTAATTTTCTGAAAAGTTTCCTGGTGATAATTAACTCACTCTCATGTACACAACAAAGCTGAAGATATGACTACATAGATGTACAAAGTATATATTTCAGATAGATAGGTATTCTTTAACCACTTCAAAGAGCTACAGAATATGACATTTAAAATATTTTAAGAACTTAAGACTTTTCATGACAGTAAGACACATCTGTTCCTGGCAGCACCAAGATACTTCAAGAGGATAATGGGCATCAAAGAGGCTCCTTACAGAGTTTGCTAGTTATAACTTTAATTCTTGCTTGATACCTGTTTTGTTACATGTAATTTTACTATGTTAAAGATAAAAACCTTCCTTTTTTATTTAAACAGGAAAGGGGGGTGATGTGGGATTCCCCTCTGTTTGCTGTGAATACCATTGATTAACAAAGAAACTGGCTTGGCCTGATAGGGTAGAACAGAGCTAGGCAGGAGAAATTAAACTGAATGCTGAGAGAAGGAAGCTGCCATGTCAGGAGAGAAGCCATGAAGCCAGCACCAAAGACAGACATGCTGGAACCTTGCTGGTAGGCCACGTAAAATATAAAATAATAAAAATGAGTTAAATTAATATGTAAGAGTTAGCCAATAAGAAGTTAGAGCTAATAGACCAAGCACTGATTTAATTAATATAGTTCCGTGTGGTTATTTCGGGTACGAGATGCTGGGTGGTCGGGAGATAAACAAGCAGCCCTCCTTACAACACAAAGGTTATCAGGCTATTAACCACTTCTCCTCCTAAACTTCTGGGCAGAAAACAGGTTATATATCTACCTTTGAAGAGAGCCCTGTGTGTTTAACATTTCCAGTTCCCCTAGTGCTTATCTGTGAGCCCAAGGAATCTGTGCCTCCCACAAAAAACTAGTAGAAATTTTAAGTGTTTTAAAACTACGCCAGGGATTCTCCTCAGGGCTTCAGACCTCCTTTCTGCAAGTACAGTGCTTCTACCCATTGAGCCATCTCCTTAGTCCTAATTTTCTGTTAGAAACATCTCTCTATAAATAATATTCTTAATTTTCTTCTAGGAAAAACAGTTTTCAATTTGAAAACTTTAAAAACCTCATCATGACTCCATTGTGGGAGAGATCAAGAGCCTGGATACAATATTGTATGATGTGGAATAATGAGGACCAGGCACATCTTCAAAGACAAGGACTCTCCTTCAAATTCCTGAGAAGAGGTTTGGGTTTATTTGATTGTTATTTTTCTCTTTATTCTGGTTAAACCTTGTCTTTCCTATTATATAGAAACTTGATTAGAAATGTATTGTTCCAATATGTGAAAACTGAAACAATTAAATGGTAACATTACAAGTATTAGGAAAACATTTCGGGGAACTGGGGGCTTAATGTACAGTTTTAAAAACAGAATGAAAATAATACAACAAATAAAAAACTAAAAACTGGGCTTAATTAAAATAATGATCATGACCACTATCAAAATTAAAAGGTCTTACATCAAATCAGATAGGGAAGAACTAAAAGGAGTAGAGGGAGGGGAAACCATATTGATGATATTATATGAGAAAAGAATTTGTAATTAAAAAATGGGAAAATTAAAAGGCAAGGTAAAGTATATGAGAAATACTTGGAATACATGCATTCCATGAAGAAAAATATACAGTTGCCAGAAGTTACTAAGTGAAAGACTGGGAAGCAAAATAAAAAAACAGCATGGGTAAATGGCCTATGCAGACATACTCAATATAAATAGTCATCAGGTAAATGATATCACAGTGTAAGGCTGACAACAGCAAGGTCTGGCAAAAATGTGGGGAGATTAGCATGCACCCACACATCCAGTTAATGTTTAAATGTGCTCTGCCATGTTGTTTCTCAGCAACATGTACTGTCTATTATAGACTGCCTATAATCTAGTAATTGCATTCTATGAGTTAGTCAAATAAAATTAATATACCCATAGAATGATGATGGCTGTGTGATCTCCAGTAGCTAAAAGAATAAAACTAATCCAAAATGCAATGGGCACTAAAGTTACTAAATATAAATAATTCATGGTATATTGATGTCACAGACTATACCATGGTAATGAAAAAGAACAAGCCATGAGTATTTAGAACCATGAACAAATCTAAACATCAATAATCCAACTTGTATGAGGCTCAAGAACAAGAAAGGCTGGCTTACAAAGATAAAGTTTATCACACTTCTAGTCATTAGGGAAAGTCTGTGCTGGTAATAATGCTCTTGGGTAACAGAGTGCTCTAGACGGTGACTAGTCTACACATGAGCACACACACACACACCACCACACATGTGCATATACATATGCATAATTAATTCAGTTAAACTATACAAGAAACATCTGCATACTTAACTGTTCATTGTAAAGTATATCCTGGATATTCAAAATATATGTAGTATATAAAATGAAAAGACTATCTCAAATGTTCATTGCTTATTTATTTGTTCTTCTTATGCTCAGTATATAACACTGAGAGATATGGATAAAGTTCTGTGGGGATATTTCTAAAATAGTTACTTTGTTTAGCCAGAAAAGTGAGTTATTTTTAGTCAATTAATATTGGAAATGAAAATAGTTCAGTGATCTAATTTTGAAACTGCTTAGAATGTTGGAGAATAGACCAAACAAGTCAGTCACTTTAACATCTTCTACATGCTTATTATTCAGAATTTGTTATAGGAAAATTTCATCTTTTAAGATATACTCAGCTTTCCTCTTCTCTTTTCAAGGATAAAATTATGGAGTAATTTTAAAAATATTCTGTGAATAAGGGCTGGAGAGATGGCTCTGAAGCCCACGTGTGGTTCCTAGAACACACATTGGATGGCTCACAACTACTTCTAGCTTCATTCAGCTCCAGGAGATTTGAAAGCCTTATTGACCTTTGACCTACAGAGACATATGCAGTTATGTGCACAAATGAACACATCCACCCACCCACATACTCATCCACCCTTACCCACACATCCCCATAACAGCCATACTATACAAAATATTAATAAGAGAAATTCTTTAACAATTCCTATGAAGAAGGAAGTTATTTTAGAGTATCATATCTTAAAAGAATATGTCCCAAGAAACAGAATAAATTTAATGCCTCAAAATGGTGATTTTGAAATGTAATATTCCTGGAGAGAAGGAGCCAGTTCATGTTTTAAATTCTTAATTTTATACAGGGCATAGCTCTCTATTTAAACATTATTATATTTCTTTTACTTTCTTATTCTTGTTTTGGGTCCTTGAGTAGTGTTCTTGTTATTGGCTACATTAATATGCTATAAATACAGTCCCTTTAAACAACATGGTTTCCAAAAATCAACTCTGAGTTGTGCTATGGAAAACACAGTTATACTGTCTAAATGCCTGCTGCATGCAATCCCAGACACCATGCGTGCAATATTGTCAATATTGTAAGGCATCAACAAAGCCTAAAACACAGGTATCCAATATTAGCAATAATCTAAAAATAAAAAAATCCATGCTATATTCACTTTTTTATATTCCTTAAAGGACTGTGGGGAATTCTCTCACATCCAGTCACAGTTACACACCCACCATGTATACATACTTACCCTACTAGAGTTTTTAAAAACATATTCTTTTATTTCATCTGAAATACCCTAATGATTTTACATTAAAAACTGGAGCAATATAATATTACTAAGAATTGGAAGGGTCATGAAGGATGGTTTCTATGGGAACACATAACAGACAGATGGGCATACCAATGACAAAGTTGGTCTTGGAGGATGACTGCCCATACTGCTGCTCAATGTACTTTGGTTTATATGTCACCATACCAAATAGAGAATTGAACTGAACAGTGCTTGCACACAGGTATAAGATGTATACTGGATTTCTAATAAGAGTCTTCAGGGATGGAAGAAAATCTGTAAGACAAAAACAATATGGCGTTCACACAACGAGGGTCTCAAGTGGTCTACACTGCAACCTTCAGGGCTGCAGTCTGCCCAGGGTTGGATCTAGGCACACACACACACACTCTTGTGAAATAATATATAGGACCTATGAGTGAGACAGGGACAGATGTGTCAGTGACAAGGGGGCAGAGCATTTCTCCTCCCTCTAGGAGCCCCAAGTTGGACACAAAGAACCACCAGTGTAAGTTTCTTTCTCCCAACATAATTCACTGCTGTCTCCTTTAGTCAACATGCCTTGGCTTTGAAAGGATCTTTCTCCTGTGATTCATGCAATGAGCTTCAACAAGTTCAAGAATGTCTATAAAAATAAACACAGGATGGCTTGAAAATAAAAAGATGGGTACAATTTTTCAGCCGTCAACTTCCCTGAGGAGAACTCTGGATTACAAGCCTGACCTTTGCCTGCCTCCCACTTACACCCTTGCTGAGACACACGTTTCTTTATATTGTTGGGGCTTATGTGTAAAAGGCTCTTAGACATGGAGTTACAGCCTCTTCTTTCTGTCCATTCAGACTTACACTGAGAAGCTACTATGGAGAAGAACAATGGTATGTGAGAGAGGGTGGAGCCACCTAAAAGGAAAATATGCAGGACTCTTGTTCATCCACCTGCATAACTTTTTCAAAAAAAAAAAAAGACTTACCCTCTCCATTTCTGCTTCCTGTAATGGTTTCTTAACTTTCCTTTCAGACAGGGGAGCCAAATGTTGTTATGCGTACCTTTCCTCAAGTCCCACTGGGAAGACAGACATGAGCCCATGATCAAGGAGAATATGACTTACTTCTTGCCATTTCCATGATTTTTGTTTCTTCTCCAGGGGCCATTTGGTAGTTAATAGAGTCATCTATAATGAACTTAGACTTCTCAGATGAGGATCCAGAGTCATCTATACTTTGGGATCTTGGTAGAGTCTTGGGTAAGCACCAGAAGGGAACAGCTGCAAGGAGACTTAGGAGCCCTGCTATTAGGTAACCAAGCCACCAGGCCCCAACCCACTGGGGATCCTTTGGAGTGATGGTTATGTGTTCTGAAAGACAGAGATTTGTTAAGTAGCAATGTTTTCAAGGTTAAGGTGTTGAAATGCATTACTGCAGAAAATAAGTTCAAGAAACAACTCTAACACATCATAAATAATTACCTAACAGGACCAGGGGGTGGTCTCAGAGCATGAGGATCCAAGTTCAAATACCCATGAACACACATACACAAATATGTGTGTATGTATGTATATATGTATAGGTGGGTAGATGGATGGATGGATGGATGGATGGATGGATGCCAGGTGGGTCTAGATGCTAATCTTTTTTCCAGCCTCCAGGGTAGAAACAGGAGAGTCAAAGAGCAAGCTGGATAGTCACACTAGCTATATCAGTGTTCTCTGGGTTTGACTGAAAGACCCTGCCTCAAAGAACAAGGTAGGAGAAAAATTTATGATGATTTCATAGCATTAACTAAGGCCTCCACATGTATGACCATCCACGTACAATGCTCCCACACATGTATACCCAGGACACAAAGAAATATGTATATA